AATAAGATAGCCATAGAGTCAATGGTATAATGAAATTAGAATGCACACCTACAAATTCCACCAACAAAGTTATTCCCCATCATATTGCGTAAGATGGGCTATTTTGTGTGAACATAAGTCCGGTGTACAGTCTTTGAAATTTCAGAGAAAATATCCATTATTCAGACATTGTGCACTTTGGGGATGGGAAGAGCATAAGAGGATCACTTTTTGGATGATCTATACAGCGAACAGTCATGCCATGACTAAATTTTGTCCCATAGTTGAAATCTGTGCAAATGCTCACATTCATTCGTTTCTTAATCTCAAGCATCTCTACATCATTTTTATTCCACAATCTTAAAGCATTAAAATAACAACAATTATCTGTGGAACTAGAATATATGAAGCTATTAGTTTAAATATATTTTTTCAAGAAAGGTAATGTAATATCATAAGAAAAGTACATTTCAGATGTATTGTATAAAATGTGAATATTTAAGGAGATATTTAAAAAGAGAAAGATAATTGGAATAAGAAATTGGGTGCTTCAAGTCACAGCCTATTTTCTATATATATTCTTAGAATTTTTAAGAAGCTAACTTATACACCAGAACACCCTATATTTCAATAATATAATGCCATAATAGGACATTTTTGCTGGTTTGACTATGAGTTAAATACCGACTATAGAAAAATTTTATATAGTTACATATTTCAAAAATTCAATACAGGCGAGAGTCCTTTTGAATTCTGATAAAATATCAGTGTAGGATTTTGGTAGTATTTGTTAACGGTTTGTTAATGATCAGAGTCAGGTAATGATGAACAGAATAAAGAAAACCCAAGTAACTGGCCAATGAAAAGTAATGATTTTGTACTGCAACCTTGAAAAAACAGTTAAGTAAAGGAGACTAATTCAAGACACAGCAGAGTCTTGAGGAATAGTTCTATTTTTAGGACTGGTCCAGATTGTTGAGGGAGACAACACTAGATATTCTTCCAGAGATGGTAACTGAAGGAAGATCTGTGGTCAAGAGTGGTGGTGGTGGTTGTCACTATGTCCTGTGATTGCTTGGTTTCTGAAAGGATTTCTTTGTTTATTAAGAGAAAGTAAACAACTGAGTGGACTGAACGGCTAGACTAGAGGGAGGTGCAAAATAGACACTGAAAGGAGAAAATTGCAGTAAAGCCTATGACAGCTTGAAGGGGATTATGTGAAGGTGCATATAGGTAGAGAATTCACCTTAGAAAGGAAAACTCTGAGATTAGAAGAGAATATTAAGTGAAGCATATGTTTGGAGTACGTTAGAGTGGAAAGTTGAGAGTTTTCATGCCTAACATTACCATGGCTTTTTCCCCATGGGAAATAAGGTGAGATCATTTGTGGAGACAGAAGAGGACAGAGATGAGGTTTGGTCTTGAAGGACTGGCAATACCTGTGACAGGAATGTGTTTAGAAAGATGTAAGGATTAAGAAGCGACCAAATTTATTGATTCTTTTAACAAAATCCTAATGAATATCTCCTATATGTCAGCCAGTCTTTTGGGTGTTGAGAATACGTCAGTGGTCAAAATAGCTATAAATTCCTGCTCTAATGGAGCAGAGGCTCAGCTCTACCTTCTTCTTGGAATAATCAGTGACTAGAAATCTGATGAATAAGTAAGACTGGACATCCAGGGATCCCTTTGAATGTCGGACCCAAGAAAACTCCAGGAAAGAACTCATTCCAAAGGAAAAATGAAAGAGGACAGCGGGATTCTCCCAGTTATCAAAGACTTGGTCATCCAAAGGTCGGGATGATTCACTTACAGAGTGCAGGGCATCAATCAGATTTGTTTCCTGGCCCAAATCCTACTGCCTCCTATGACTTAGAGGGCTTGTGGCCCACCCACCCACCAGCCCATTAACCTCTTTCTGCTGTATTTGAAACAGAATGAGAAATTATCATTGTTAGAAGCTCTGGGATAGGCAAGATTCCTATAGGAGTATAGCAAGTGGGTATTTTCTCAACTCTTTTTCCTTGTTTTCCAGGGTCTAAAAGAAAGTGACACAGAAAAACAAAAATGGTATTTGTGCAAGTATAGTTATATTTTCCTGGTAATTAGTACTTGTATTTTAATCATATAAATATATTTAAGCAAAATGTAGCTTCACACTAATAAAGATACACAATGTTAATATCAGAGACAAAAAGATTCATGAAATTCTATTGCTAATTTATATTTGTCCTCTGTACACACAACGAATTATCAACAACAAACATTTGGATTCATTGTAATTTAAGACCTGACATTTTCAAGAATATCTCTCAGTTTCAAAAATATGGTTGTGAATACTGTTTTTACAACAAAAATATTAACTTCTATTAAATGTCAATTTGAGAAGTGTATTCTCACCGATGCACTGAGGAAGTTGGGTCCAGGTTCCACGAAGACACATAAC